CTTGACACAATGGATGGATGGATGGATTGTGATAAGAGTTGTACAAACCCCCAATAAAATGATATGAAAAAGTCTGTATCACTGGCTAAATTAATGGCAATATCGGTAGAACTGCTGTATGCCCCATGAGAATTTATAATAATAATGTCTTTAAAATGAACCATAGTCATATCTAAATCATAGATATATGATGAGATTTTTGAGCTCTCCCTTAATTGTAACTCTAATCTAAGAACAATTCGTTCTTATGCCATGACCCTGCTCAGTGCCCACGTCCACGAAGTGATCAATGAAGATATGGATGCCATGGCAAAGTGTGATGAAGAAATCAGGTGGTGTCTGGCTATCAGAAAGAATAGCACTGGGGTCTTAAAGACTTGTCTTAAAATAAGCAGCTATCTGAGTGAGGCATCAGGTAAATCCACATGGCAGAAGCACAGCTGTCTATATGGTGCAAGAATTGTAAATAAGGACAACCAAACCCAGAGAAGGGACAATCTTAGAGCTTAAATTCTGAACATCCAGTTTGCAGGAAGCCATTCATTCTCAGTCCATATTGACTTAAAATATGTCACCTTCCGAAAAGTTTATCAACTCATGAACTTTTATAGATATTAGGGTAGTTTTAATTGCTTCCTTTTTTGTCTTACTCTTTAAGATGTTTTTTAATATCACAATATCAGGTAAGCACAAGTTTTATGTCTTCAATGATTCTTTCATGGCTCAGCTCCACCATCCCCCCACCAAAAAAATTCTAATTAAAGTATCTAATACTTGTAATGTCTTTCTCCATATAAGTATCACTTGTAAGAGGCATTTCTTATTCTATAATCAAAACCACATTAGATATAAAGCAAACCATAATCCAAATACGAATGTGCTTGCTGGTAGGTTCGTTTTCTACCACAGGGCAAAATAGTACTTCAAAGAGGCGTGTGAGAGATACAACCACATTACTATCGCTGGTGGGAATCAGTTCCTGCAAAGCAATAAGAATAAGACATTGTCCATAGCTTTCAGCTTATTTGAAGAATAAAAGAACATAAAGATTTCATTTTATAAAACTGACAGAAAAATATACTTGCATTTCACAAGAGCTTTCTAGCATTAAAAGAATTTAAATTACTAGCATAGTAAAAAACAATTTTCAAACAGTATCTGTCAAACATCTTAATTTAGCCCATCATATTACACAGTGATATATAATGTATTCTTATTATAAATTCTCTGACCAATGAAAACTAACTACTGTAAGAAATTAAACAATGTTCTGGGGTCATAGAAATGAACTCTCTAGTAATTTTTTTTAAAATATACTATATCTGCATATTAAACTAAAGAGCATGTAAATAAAAGACAAAGTCTCTGCCAAAGAATGATATTGAAATTATATAGGAAAAAATAATTTGGTCTAATAATGAGATGGCAGAGGAATCTGAAGGTAGAGTGAAGGGCGGGTTCCTTGAGAATTGAGATAAACAGCTAGTCTCGACTGAGGGAGACAGGAAGAGAAAGACAGAAGAGGGAAGTGTCCCAAAGGCAGTTAAGAGGCATGTAGAAGAATGGTTAGAAATGGAAACTTGGAAAACAAATGTAAGGTGGCAGGTGAAGAAGGTAAAGGTGGCCAAGGCAAGAGAAGCTGCATGTATAAGCAGATGTATAAGCAGATACAGTGAATTGAAGGCTGACTAAAAAATATATGCCATTTTGTAGGACCTGGAACCTATGAATGTGACCATGTGGAGAAAAAGGATCTTGGCAGATATAATTCGGATTGAGATGATATGACTGACGCAGGATAATGTGAGTAGTCGGTAACTATCTTGACAATCATCAGCAGCAACTCCAACTCACTGCCTATGAGTAGATGCTAGCTCAACGCAACCTTGCAGGACAGGACAATGTAGAACTGTCCCTGTGGGTTTCTGGGATTGAAACTCTTTGCGGGAGAAGAAAGCCTCGTCTTTCTCTCAAGGAGTTACTGGCGATGAGCAGCCCAACATGAAACCGTTACACCACCAGGACTCCGTAGGAGACACATAAAGGCAGCACTCATAGAGAAGGCCACATTAAAGGTCACCTCAAACTAGAGTCATGCAGCCACAACTGGGGAGCCACCAAGAGCTGGAAGAGGCAAGGAGCTCATGCCAGTCAGCAGTTTGACTTAGAACTTCTAGTCTTCAGGACTCAGAGACAATGAATTTCTGTTATTTTAAGCCACCAAGTTTGTGGCAATTTGTTACTGAAAGTAACACAATATATAAAACATTCTCAAATATTAAAATATACACTTGAATTACTTGATATGGCTATTCTAGCCATAGTCTTTGTAAACCCCACTAAAAAAACGTTTTCCTAATGGGCATGCACCCATTAGGATAAGAGAAGATAGGAGAAAATATTAATTAGATTTTAAGATTCGGTTGTGAATGACTGTCAAGAAGAATAATTGTGATTATAAAAACTTGGAATTCTAAGTTGAGAATTGATCCATATTGCCCTTCTGCTAGGTATAAAATGAACCCTCTTAGAAGCAGGACAGGGGAAATGTACTACCACTAAGAAGAGCTAAAGCTGGCTTATATGCTTTTCTGGTTTGGGGTATATGAAACCCAGGGTTGATGAACCTGTAGGGACAGCAAGTAGAATCAGGGGTTCGGAGGGATGGAGGGACAGTAGTGCAGGTGGGGTAAAAGGGAGATGATGTCAAGGAGTCCATGTAGAAGAATGGTTAGAAATGGATTGTGGTAGCAATTGTACAATTCTACTTGACGTGAATAAAAGATGGAATGATATGTTATATGTATTAAATCCCAACTAATTAAAAGGAAGGGCTAAACATGGAGTGTCTTCTTTGGGCCCCAAATTCCCTATGCTTGATCCAGGGACAGACAGGTGTGACACCAGAGAAGTGGTGGAAAAGTGGCAGAGCAGCCGGGCCAAGAGCCAGAACAGTGGGCTTCCAAGCCCACTGAGCAAGCAACGCTGAGTGCCTTTGAGCAGGAGGCTAGCTTGCAGAGGGGGTGCTTCCCGACACTTAATTGAGGAGCTAGATTTGCTGACTTTGGGCTGAGGTAGAGTAATGTTTTGGATAGAATAGTACTTAACAACCGCACTAAAAGAGCTCTGTAACATTGCCTGATCATGGCAGAGGCCAAAGGCCATATAGCTGAGATGCCAAGGATCAGTGCAGTGTGTCTGTGGGCACAGCAGAGGAGAGGTTGTCCTGACTGGAAGAATGGTACCCTGAGAATTTCTGATCCTGAATTGTAACCTGTTAACTTCCCTAATAAACCCCATAATGATGAGGATTGCCTGTGAATTCCATATGGCCATTGCAATGGCTTATCCAACCCCGGCGAGAGATAGAGAATGCTGTAGGAGAGATGGTTGGTGTCAGAACTGGTGTGGAAGGTTGGAGGGTGAAGCTATATCTGACTTTGGCCTTAGAATAATGCTTATAGTGAAGACAGAGAAGGATGACACTGTCCCTGTGCCATTTTTACAGGCATATGTTTCAAATACTTTTAAAATATGGAAAAGTTATTTGACACTCTTAAAACCTTAGTCACTATGGTTTTAACCAAAAAATTTAGCTAAAGTAAATGTTACCTTTGGGTTTTTCAGTTGTAACTTGATCAATGTGAAGCCAAAGGTAGATATAAATGTGTAAGGAGAAACTAGTTGTAGCTACCATAGCATTTTGACTTAAGAGTCAAGTTGAGCATAAACTAAAGAGATGTGAGTGGATTAGAGAACTATTGTGTTACCTTGCATTTTTTTTTACGCAGTCTTAAAGAAGGTGGCATTAACCAGTCAAAAAGTTCTTGCAGCAGAGCATGGGGCTCCCCTTCCTGCAGAGGCCCTGTCAATGAATTCAGCCAGGAAGACACAAGTGGTTTCCATCCTAATTGTGAGGGCTCCAAATAAATCATGCCGCAGCGGCTTACAGTAGCAGGCTAGAGGAAAAAGACAATGTGGTAGTTACATAATCTGGTGTCAATTTGAGAGGATTAAGAGTGAAGGGGTGGAGTCTAGTCTGTCAATCAGATCTCTCTGTGGGCCTGGTCTTCCCCTGAGAATTCTGTATTTTTCCTCCTTTCTCTCTCTGCTCATCCCCTGGGAGACATTGCAGTTAACAAGATACATAGAACTATGCTAGTGCTCTGAGCTGGAGAAACCACATGGACCTACCCTGATGCAACCAGACCTTGGGAGCCGGAGAAGCCAAGTAGAGAACCCTGCCAGCACTGAGATGCTTACAACGCCACTGGATCCAGAAGACTTCCAACCCACTGGCCTGTGATCCTCCTGCATTTGGCATCATTGCATGTATTTCACATGAATCTGAAGAGGACTTTATAGATTGGTATCGGACATATGGGCTAATAATGGACTAATGGACTTGATCTGGACTGGGTTGGGATGCTTTCTTAGTGTACAATTACCCTTTATATAAAACTCTCTCTTACACACGAGTTTCAAAAATGGATTTGTTTCTCTAGTCTACCCAGACTAACACAGACAAGTTTCATGTTTCCAGTGTTACATTTGTACCAGAGGTACCTGACTAGTACTTGGCGTGAATACAAGGATCCTGGGCATGATCGGGTTCCTCTACCTCTACAGCCTTACCTGCTCCTTTCACATGCACTATATTTTCCCCTTACAGAAAACCATTTGCTGTGCAGTTCCTCAGACATACCACGATGGCATGGGCTTCATGTTGTATGTATCATTTTGTCATGATTAGAATGGCCTTCCTCAACCAGTCTTCTTAGAGAAGTCTTACACCTCCTTCAAACCAGATCAAGCACTCACTCTCTATGGTCCCTTTGTACCCACTTGGATGCTTATCACCCCGGCCACACCTATCCATAATATGCTCAAAGTACTTTCATGTAGCTCTCTTTGGGGAGTATTTATTAGCATGCATCTCATTTTCTAAAGAACATAGACTGTGCTTTGTTCATCTTTGTCAAGTGCCTAACACAGACTCTAACAAATAATGCAAATACATTTGTGGACTAAATGCATGAATAAATGAACAAAACATCTGTAAATGCTGTTGTATTGAATCATGAACTTACTGAAGCCTGGGAGAGGTCCATTGTTTCAAAGATGAGGCTCATTTGAGGAGACATTTGAATGATTTCTCCACTCATCAGGCAAAGCTAAAGAAAATTAGTTTTTAAACATTTACTTGAAGAATATTTCAGATTTCTCGGATAAAAATTAATTCTACTTATAAAATTAAGTATCTATTGTAGTAGAATAGAATACATATTCAAATGGAAGTTAGAAGAGCTTAATATTCAGGGTCTAGGTCTGAGGATTACAAGTTAAGTATATACTTCATATCTCTGAGTTGCAGTCTCATCGTCTATAAAAAAGGGCTATACAATCATCTCTCTCACAGAATTGCAGGGGGCTGAAGGGGTACAGGATATGACATCCTTCAAAACTTGCAAAATGCTATACAAATATCAGTTCTTACTAATAAAATTAATAAAATACTCCTGATTTTATGAAGTGTCATAAGGCCTTTTAAAATTAATAATAAATAGAAAAGAGAATGGTAAAATGATCTACCATCTCCTAGATTTAAACCTATTGCCTCGATTGCTTCATTTTTGTTTTTGTACATTTTAAATAACCCAACAGATATCATAGAACCCATTATTTCATGTCCAAATATGACAGAATTAATCTCTAAAATATAAAAGCATTTTCTATATACTACAATGTTGCCACACCTAACAAAATTAATAACTCTTTAATATTACCTAACATTTAGTTAATACTCAGATTTCCTCATTGAACCAGCAATATCGTTTATTTGTTTATTTATTTATTTTTAAATAATTTTATTAGGGGCTCATACAACTCTTATCACAATCCATACATACATCAATTGTGTAAAGAACATTTGTACATTCATTGCCCTCATCATTCATCTGCTCTCCACCCAAGCCCCTGGCATCAGCTCCTCATTTTTTCCCCTCCCTCCCCACTCTCCCTCCCCCATGAACCCTTGATAATTTAAAAATTATTATTTTTTCATATCTCAGCAATATCTTTTCAACTACTTATTCAAACCAAAATTCCATCAAGGGCAATGTATTTTGTCTTCTTTTCACTTTCATCTAACCAGTTCCCCTTTGATCAAATATGCCCAAATCTGAATTTATCTTTTGATTCCCATCTCTCAAATTCCAATCCTGTCCACTGTTATTAAAGCTGTCCTTCCTTCTCAAATTCCTTGGCTTGAAACTTTAGAAATTATTAATATTTAATTAGTAGTGATTATTAATGATGGAAACGCTAAATTAATTAGTTTAAGCTTTTACATTTTTACTTTTTGGTCTTTCCTCGCTGTTTCTACAAATATTAGTGACAATTTTGCCCCATCTATTATCTGAGCCCTGGTGGCGTAGTCCTTACAGGCTGGGTTCACAGTTCAAAACTACCAGCCACTCAATGGGGCTTTCTACTCCCATAAGCAGTTACAGTCTCAGAAACTCACAGGGGTAGTTCTGCTCTGACAGATAGGGTCGCTTTGAGTCAGCACTGAGTTGATGGCAGTGAGTTTGGTTTGGTTTTATCATATGTCAGTAATGAAGCATTTCTGGATCTGGTTTCTTAGTGATAAAAGTCATAAGCTATATGTGGCTATTTATGTGTAATTTGAATGAATTAAAACTCAATAACATTTAAATTTCAGGTCTTCAATTGCATTAGCCACATTTCATGTGTTCAACGGCTACCTTATTGGAGAGGACAGGTACTTCCATCATTACAGAAAGTTCTGTTGGACAGTGCTGGTCTAAGGTACTTACAGCCTTCGATCGGATCACTTCAAAAGCTTTCTCCCACTCACCCAACATTTGGATGGGGAGTAGGCAGTTTCCTGCTCCAATGCTTCCCCACTGCTTTTCCTTCATCCTTATGTAAAACAATTTTTTGACAATCCTTGCTTACAGCTGTCAACACCTGCCACACCCATCTGATCCCAGGATGGGCATTCCTCTTATTAACTAAACCCTTCAACGGGTGGCTTAATCTCTCTCTCAGCTCCTAAATGATGCAGTATGCATAAAGACGACCTTCTTGACGCTGAAACCCTTCAGGTCTTTGGCTACTTTACTTTCAGTTACTTTTCTCTCACTCCACTCCAGCCATCCACTTCACACACCTGGGCTACCTCTTTCCCGAACATTAGACAATTTTGAGATATTAAATTCAAGCATCTCACTCTGCCCACAGCACCTGCCTTTTCCAGGTCTCTCACTCACTGACTGCTACTGAGCGTGCCTTTCACTTTCCTAAGGACTTCACAGGCCTGGTGCTTACACTCTAGAACCTCGATCCTTCTCACGCCAATACCTGTAAACTCTTTCTGTACCACTAGTCTAGCAAGATTACCCATGCCCACCTCCAAGGCACTTAGACTGGTAGAGAGAAACTCACAAAGACAGACCTTTGTACCCACTCATTTATGGTCTTCAAGTCAATCGGACTCTCAGTGCTAGCCACACATCTCCTGCTATGTTTTCCTATTTTCCTTAATGACTAACTTAAGCTTCCTCTTTTCTCCTCAAACCTACAAGTACTCAGGGCCTACTGGTTCACAGTGGGGGGGGGGGAATCATCAGAAGGGTCTGCTTTCAAATTTCTAGTATATCCATACATGTACCTGTAAGCATACCCATCCTTTCATAGTTCCTTTTCATCCCAAATGAGACAACCCTTCTGCTTCACTCTGAAGCCTTAGAATTCATTCATTCTACTTACTAATCCCTCTCTTCCGAATCACTACCAATTCTTGCCTAATTTGCCCTCTCAACTCAATCAACATTGCTGAATAAATGACATAATATGTGGAGATGGCCAACTACCTATGATAAAGTGCTAGAGTATATAGTTGTATAATAATAAATAAATTGAATTGGATTATCTAGTAATGTAGTTATTTAAAATAAATATGGAAATAAGTTATATTGTTCATAGAGCATAATACTAATATAAACATAAAAGGATTAACTGAAACTACAATAACGTAAAGATTTCTTTCATATAACAATGGTCTTTCATTGACCAAAGCAAATCAGACACTAAAGAGTATGATTATATTTACCTTATGGGGCAGGTACACAGACTGGGAAGAGACACGAGGAAGCCTTGTAGAGTGCAGGGAACTGTGCACTTTTATTTGAGTGAGGATTATGTGAGTGCATACCAACAGAGTGTGAGTGTTCATATTTCAATTCAGTGTCTTTTACACTTCATTGTATGCATGTTATTGCTCAAAATAAATATTAGATGTCCATTGTCTAGCTCTTTTGTATACCTTACCGTTCCTAAAGCAATAAACTACTACATAAAAGCACTGCAGCAAGCAGTGTGTTTTCAAAAAGGAAGGAGGTCCTTTTATTTTCTCCTAAAATATTAGTTTGAAGTTCTCTAAGAAACTCAAAGTTTGAAGTCATTCAACAGCCGTTATCTATTAGATTAGTACATCTCACCGCTAAAGCAGTAGCTTTAGCACAATCTTCTGTGGGGGAAACAAAATGAGCAAAAGGGTTACCATGGCATAGTGTTCACTGAAAAGATAAATTAGCTATAAAACAACTCCACTTGCTGAGTCCTCTCTTGTAAATACAGTTCTAGTTGACAGTTGTTGAGCACAGAACACACTCTATGCTGTATGTTAAACATCCCTACACCAGACAGAGGAGCCCTGGTGGCGTCGTGGTTCCAGGCTGGCCTGCGCTCTGCATAGTCAGCAGCTCCTCGAACGAAAGCCTGGACTTTCTACTGGACTCGGTACTCGATTCCAGTCTCCAAAATCTACGGGCAGTCGCTGTGAGTCAGCATGGACTTGATGGCAGCGAGTTACGCATGATGGGCTTTTAACTCTGATGATTTACCTTTTTATTATCATCCAGCACTGTGTTCATGCTCTCTATCCACAGAGTGTCAATGGGACCATCAAACACCACCCATTTCCGGTCAGGTGATTCTGATAAGGCAAATTCTCTAAAGGTATTGGCCACAATACCATCAGTCCACTGAGAAGAAAAAAGGAAGAATTGGGAGACCCCTTTTATACAACTGAATTTAGCACTGAAAATACGAAAGCACATCAAATTTCTTCATTTAATGTGTACTATAAATCAAAGTGGAGCGTGATTAAGGGTGTAGATTACCTCATGAGACACTGGATCAAACTGTCCAAAAAGTTGGCCCATAGTAATGGATTTGGGGTTGACAGTCCTATAAATAACCTTCTCTTCCTCTCCATAGCCCCGTTCATTCATAAGACTTAGGGTATCAGCCAACACATGCAGAACTTCAGTCTTAGCAGCAAAAGGCTCTCCTACTAACATAAAACTATAAAGGAAAAATAAAAGCAGTTACACAGTAAAAATCTCTTTAAATTATGGGCCATATTTAGTGTGCCCTGTGATAATTTACTATTTGTCCATTTATCTTAATTTTTCTGAGATAAAGGAAAGGTACCTTTAGCTTCTGAACGGTTGCCCTCTAAATAAAATTGTTCACATTACAGCATTATCTACAACAGGGAATGTCATAGAAAAGTCTCCAAATGACAATGGAAACTTAACATCTGTATATACTTGAAATTAAAAAAATGAGATTTGGGGCCTCTTACACAGCAGAGTGGGAAGGAGTCCCTTCCCTAATGTCTTTACTTGCTCCTTGTCAAGGAGTTCTGCTTCTCCTCCCTCCTGGCACACAAGGGTTCTTCTTGGCTCTTCTGTAGAAGGGCTATGTGACTAACTCTAACCAAGGCATAATAATAATCAGAAATTATGTATATTGCTTCCTAGAAGAAATAGTGCCTATTTAACTAAGGCCTTCTATTAGACTAATGAAATATTATATAAATATTTTGTATGAAAAGAGATCCCCAACGATGCTGCCCTTTTTTTTTTTCCCCCAACGTTCCCTATTTCCTTGGCCCCAGTACCCTGGTAATTACTAATCATTTGTCTGAGCAGATTTACATATTCTAAATATTTCACATAAGTGGGATCCTATACTATTTGTCCTTTAAGTCACTTAACATAGTATTGTGGTATGTATGTGATGGTATGTGTCAGAAATGCATTCCTCATTATAGTTGAATAAATCACTATTGTGTTTATAAAACACATTTTGTTTACCCATTTATCTGCTAATGAACACTTGGGTTATTTCTACCTTCTGGTCATCATGAATAATGCTACAAAGAACACTGGTGTGCATGTGTGTGTTTAAAGTCCCTACTTCCAATTCTATTAAATATATACCTAAGAGGGAAATTTGGTAGGTTATATGGTAAGCCTGTATTTAACCTTTTTGTTTGTTAAGCTTGTTGAAGAACTATCAACCTGTTTTTTCCACAGAGGTTACACTATTTTATATTCCCACCAGCAATGAATTTTCCAGTTTCTCTATATCTTCATAAATATTTGTAATTTTCCTTTTTTTTTTTTTGACTAGTGGGTGTGAAGTGGTATCCCATTGCAGTTTGATTTGTATTCCCTGATGACTAATGAGATTAAGCATCTTTTCATGTGCTTGTTGGCCATTTGTATTCTCTTCTTTTGTGACATATCTATACAAGTCCTTAGCTCCTTTTTTGAGTGGGTTGTTGGTGTTTTGTTGTTGAGTTGTAAAACTTCTTTATATATTCTGTATACTAAACTCTTATCTGTTATGTGTTTTCCAAATATTTTCTCCCATTCTTCTGGTTGTATTTTTTAAAATAGTTTTATTGGTATAAACCTCACATATCATGCCACTGAGTTGTTCAATCATATTAAGATTTGTACAGTCATCACCACAATCCATTTCAGAACATTTTCTTCTCATACTCATGTTAGCTCCCCAATTTCCCCACTCCTCCCCTGTCATGCCCTAGGCAATTATCAATCCAGTTACTTTCTCTGTAGAGCTACCTATCCTAGTTTTCAAATACAGAAAACCATGCAAAACACAAACAGGAAGCGAACAAACAAAACTTAACAATGACTAAACAAAACATAGAAAGACCTCAAGCAAAACGAAAGCAGAAAATATAAAAAACTGAGACAACTTTAAAATGGGTCAAAAGGGAGATCAAATGTTAAGGTATTACATTTTAACCTAACTACATATGCTATAATCCACTTCACAATGTACTCTATCTGATAGCAAGGCCATTCATATCCCTCGACTGCATTCAGAAGGGATTCACCAGAGGTTTAATCCCAGTGGGGACCCTGCAAATGGATTTTGGCCTTCTGCTGTCATTCTGGTGATGCAATGGTTACATGTGGGGCTGTGAGCTGCATGGTTGGCAGCTAGAAACCACCAGCAGTTCTGTGGGAGAAAGACTGGGCTTTCCATTCCTGTAAACAATTCAGAGTTTTGGAAAGCCACAGGGGGTTGCTATGAGTCAGCATTGTCTGGATGGCAGTGAGAATTGAGAGAAAGTGTCATCCACAGCCTTCTGCAAACCAGGTGTTCACAATTTAAGTTCTAATACCATTCTGTCAGATTTGGGTTTTATTATTTACAACCTTTGGATCACAAAGATGGTGTGCTTCTTCCATGTGAACTTGATGCCTCACATGCCTGCTTGTTTTAAGAAAAGACTTTAAGACCCAATATGCTATTCTTTCTGATAGCCAAGCATTTGAGTTGTATTTTAAATTTCTTAAAAATAAATGTTTTTAATTATGAAGTCCAGCTTATATATTTTCTCTTGTTGTACAATTCCTGTTATCATATCTAAGAATTTACCTTATGGTTTTTTTTTTAATGATCTTAGCTCTTAAATTTAGGCCATTGATTCACTTGCAATTAATTTTCCTTATGGTATGAGGTGAAAATCTAATGTCATCATTTTACATTTGGCAATCTACTTGTTCTAACACCATTTGTTGAAGTGATTATTCACCATTGGATGGATTTAGCATCTTTGCAGAAAATTATCTGGTCATAATGGGTTTACTTCTGCTCTCAATTTTATTCCACCAGTCTAGGTATATTTTATTATAACAGAAGCAGGCCATTTTGGCTTTATAATATGTTTTGACATAGGAAGTATAGGACCGCCTGCTTTGTTGGGATCATTATCAAGATTGTGTTATAATTCAGGGCCCCTTGCACTCCCAAAATTTAAGAATCAATTTTGTCATTTATGCAAAAAAAAGGCTGTTCAAATTTTTAGTGAAAATTGTGTTATGGCTATAGATAAACTTTGAGTAGAAATGGCACCTTAACAGTCCATGAATGCAGGATGTCTTTTTATTTCTTTATATCTCCTTTAATTTTTTAAGCAATGTTTTATAGCTTTTAGTGAAAAGGTCTTTCAGTTTCTTCAAATTTATTCCTATGTAGTTTAAGCTGATTGTTTTTGAGAGAGTTTACTGACAAAGAAGCCATGAATCTAAACTAAAGCATAGGTGAGCATTCAAGATTTAAATGACCTTTGGATATTAGGTATATACCCAATACAAACGATGATTGTTCTATTCTAGTTTTGTTTGTTCAAAAATTTACCCAATTAAAAATGTTTCTTTTGAAACCCTGCCTCTTTCACAAATCTTGGCCATTGAGGTTCTAACTTTCTATAAGGAAGGAGAGTGAAGGAAGTTCTCAACTCCTCAGGACAGCATTTTTTTTTTTCTATTGCCCATATCAATGAGGCCAGGGAAGATAACAGAAATGAAAAACCTCTCAGAAGGTTAAAGCAAGGTCCGTGGAGAACAATTAAAAGGAAGAGTCCTCCTAGTGAGCAAAAATCCAGTACAAGTGGATCAAGGTTTTGTGTGGTGTTAGATTAATACCGTTTTGATGGGTGGGAGGAGGTGTCTAAGAAAAAACATTGAATACAAAATGTCTGTAGCCTCTTTAACAATACCCTACACGATGAGTCATATATACAAGTGGCCTTTGGAGGTACCCCTACAAGGGAGAGGTCCTAAAATGAAATAACATTAGTTTTAGGGTCAATCCGTGTCTGGAATAGGGTCCTCACATGCCAAGCTGATTTTCAGAATTGCTACAAACTCGAATTGGGTCGGGAGCCCTAGTGGCATAATGGGTTACGTAATGGGTTGCTAACTCCAAGGTCAGCAGTTTGAAACCGCCAGCTGCTCCTTAGGAGAAATACGGAGCTCTCTACTCCTGTAAAGACTTAAAGCTTTGGTAGGGTCTCTATGAGCAGGCATCGAGTTGCTCTGAGTGAGTGTTGGTTGTGTCTCCTACTCTTCAATATCTGAACAGGAGTGGGCTCTCCTAGTCCTGTTCTGTTCCACTATTGCAAACTTGGAGGACACAGGACAGATAACATTATCTTTAGTTTTTAAGACTCTGGATTAAGCAGAACAAGTTTCAAATCTGACCCAAAGACCCAAAGCCTAACATGTATGTATCACCTAGGGATCCTGAACTTTGAGCTCATTTCATCGATTGATTAGAACTTTTCTATTGTCTCCCTGCTAAAGAAGAGTACAGGTTGTGTGCATAAAGGAAAGTGATTCACATATTTTATGAGCTAAAGGGAAAATCATGGTGGTCATTAGTGCCAGATTTCTGAATGTGCATTCCTCACCAAAACTTGCTGGACATACAGCACAGGGAAGAAATAAGTCTTTGCTTTTAAAATTACTGGGGTCTTAGGGTTGTTTGCTCCCTAGACTACTTAGCATTCAGAGTTTGATGAATCTTTTAGTCCATAAATTGAAATTGTTTTAATAGTTCAAATGGAAAAATAATATCTTAATTTGAAAGAAAATAATATTCTATAAACTTACCCATGTCTAACAATCATCATTTCATATGTCTGAATCATTTTATCCAGAAAAAATTTAACAGGTTGAAGATTATGTGCTTTGCAGGCTTCATGAGCACATTCCAAAAATTCCTGAAATTAATACATATACATAAATAATATAAATTATGTCACGCATGCCTTATAAGCATAGACTTTTCATTTAAAAATAAGAAAATTATATCTTGTTATATTAATAAATTATTTCTTAAAGATTTTATTTTTCTTCAAAGGAGTGAATACAATTAAAATATTTTCCAATATTAGTACTTGCTATTAAAAACTGTGAACAACCACAGCAAAAAAAAGCATTTTATATATGCTACATGAAAATATCTCCTTTTAAATACAGGGAATCCAGGGCAGATGATCCCTCCAGGACCAGTGGTGTGAGTGGCAATACTGGGAGGGTAGAGGGAGAGTGGGTAGGAAAGAGGGAACCGATTACAAGGAACTATATATGACCTCCTCCCTGGGGGACAGACAACCGAAAAGAGGGTGAAGGGTGATGTCGGACAGGGCAAGATATGACAAAATAACAATTTATAAATTATCAAGGGCTCATGAGGGAGGGGGGAGCGGGGAGAAAGGGGGAAAATGAGGACCTAATGCGGGGGGCTTAAGTGGGGAGGAAATGTTTTGAGAATGATGAGGGCAATGAATGTACAAATGCGCTTTACACAATTGATGTATATATGGATTGTGATAAGAGTTGTATGAGCCCCTAATAAAATGATTTTTTTTAAAAGAAGAAAATATCTCCTTTTAATACTCTTTCCCAGAATTCCACATTTATTTTAGGCATAGGAGGACATGCCAGGCAATCCCTCACACTGTCGCACTCCCGCCCAGATCGAATCTGACTCATAGAAACCTGGTAAGGCAGAGTAGAACTGCCCCCGTGCGGGCATTTGCAAGTCTAGACATGGGTGAGCATCAGACTAGAAAAATGCCTGTCTTGTAAACACAATAACGAAAAATGGAAATCAAAGGAATAGTTTTCTGAAAGCAGTACTTTTAAATGATGGAGATGAGAGCGAAGGCCTGCCAACCTAGAATTCTATACCCAGTGCAAATATTCTTCAAATAAAGGTGAAAAGAGCAGAAAAGTGGAAACAACCCAAGTGTCCACCAACAGAGGAATGTACAAATATGGCACATACATGCAATGGAATACTACTCAGCTTTAAAGAAAAATGAAGCCCTGGTACATGCCACAACATAGACTAATCAGCCATTCTCACAAGTTTACTTACATTATAATCCGCTTCAGGAAGTTTAATACCAGGAAATAAGTCACTAGTTATTCCATTAAATAAGGGTATATCATGTGATAGAAACTTTGGCTCATTTACATCTTTAATTGATCGAAGAAGCTGAAATAACCCAAAAATAAGCAACATAAGTTCATTAATAACATTCCCTCCATCCCACCGCCAGTGTCAAAGATTATTTTACATTACTCTGTGGAATCTCTATAATAAACCGCCGATACACGTTTACCAAGCCAAAAAGACTCCTGCATTCATAACTTACTCACTCACTGGCACTGAGTCGGTGCCAACTCATAGTGACCCCAGTGGACAGTGTGGGACTTCCCCTGTTGAGTTTCTGAGACCATAATTCTTTACAGGAGTAGAAAGTCCCATCTTTCTCCTGAGGAGTGCCTGGTGATTTCGAGCCACTGACCTTGCAGTTAATGGCCCAGCTTGTACTGACTATGGCAGCCGGGGTCCTTCACATAAATAAACTATAGTGAATGACATAACACAAACAGTATCATTTCAATGCCGAGAATTGAAATAACAACCACATCAATTGCCTACTTGTTGTTTCTGATCAACCTCCCTCAAAAAGAAGACCTAGAAATTATGTTTTTACTGAAACTTTAAAAAGTGCTGATTACTTACAAGTATATCTTCATTTTCATCAGGATATTTCAGTTTTAGGTTTCCAGCAGCCACCAAAACTGCTTTTACTGCTCGCATTCCATAATCATAATGAAACTGTGAGGAGAGCTGCTCAGAGCAAAGCCTGTAGGTCATTACTATCTTCACAGACAGTGGCTTGGCATTCAAAAATCCATAGGAGTAAAGGGAGATTTCTGCTATAAGAGCATAGTTTGGAACCATCATAGCCACTGTTCTAAAGAGAACCTGCAACATATAACAAACCAAGTATGTTAATTACATGACAACGGGTTTTAAAAACGAAGCATAAGTATCCCAAGCCATATGGGAATATTCAAGATTATTCTTCAACTGCAACATATTTATGTAAGCTCTGTGATTTTTCAGTAGTATTTCAAGATTTTATTTAATTTTTTTATACATCTAAAAAAGTGTTTGCAATGTGTGGATGTATGGATCGTGATAAGAGTTGTATGAGCCCCCAAAAAAATGATTTAAATTTTTTAAAATAAAAATTAAAAAGTGTTTGGAGCTTTATTTCACAAGAAATGGAATGGGTAAAAGGGAAATTGCAAATACACTGGAGAAAACATTAATATCTTGAAAAGTCCATGTTACCTTTTTTTTTAAACTAACAAGTTTATAATCTTTAGAAGATATATTACCTTAAGGTTGTCTGGCAATTCAGAACGCCCTGCATAGCCGGGATTCATGGTAATCGCTACAAAGCAGTTGGGATTGAGTTTAAGCTCTGTCCCTTCAAAAATGAACACTTCCAACTTCTGCTGAATGGCTCTCTGAATGCAGAGGATCTGCTGAGCTACCACAGACAACACTTCCAACTCGATTCTATTAAATTCATCAAAGCACGCCCAAGCACCGGAGGAAGCCAACCCTTTAAAAAACTAAAGGCAAGACAAAAAAGGAGGTGAGATTTCTTAGGAAAGGACACCATCTTATAAAACAAAAGGCAAGACAAAAAAGGAGGTGAGATTTTTTAGGAAAGGACATCATCTTATAAAACAAACATTCAGCCTTTTGGGTCAAGATTTAAAATTAGGTTTAATTAAAGCCCCACATACAAGATCTTTCCCCCTAAAACCAAGGTTAGCAAAGTTATTCACATTCAAGTCATGCTTACATGATGTTAGTTTAACCCATTGCCTCTAATTCTAACTTTGAAAAGCTGAATGTTAGAGACTCAGTATTTTCACTACCTTTCCCATTGCTAGGTAGTCTAGCCCATCTGAACAGTTGAACACCACACACTGCACAGCAAGAGCTTTCGCCAAGTCCTTGGTGGTCTCAGTTTTCCCTGTGCCTGCTGGCCCCTCGGGAGCACCTCCAAGGTTTAAATAGAAGGCACCTATCTGGAAAAGAAAACAGAAGCTCATGCTAACAAAGAAACGCTCTCCAAATATACTTAGTCATATTTGTAGTTTCAGAGAAGTAGTCAGAACAATTATATCGGTCAGTGAATTTTTAGCACAAAATTTTCTACCTGCAAAAAGTCAAGACAGTTTAAAAAAAATCATTTGAGGGCTCATACAGCTCTTATAACAATCCATACATCAATTGTATCAATCACATTTGTGCATATGTTGCCATCATCATTTTCAAAACATTTTCTTTCTACTTGATACCTTGGTATCAGCTACTCTTTTTTTCCCTCCCCCCCCCACCCTCCCACCCTCGTGAACCCTTGACAAATTATAAATCATTGTTATTTTCATATCTTAAACCATGCGCTCTCTCCTTTCACCCGTGTTTCTGCTGTTTGTCCCACTGGGGTGGGATGGGAAGGTGTTATATGTTGATCATTGTGATTTGTTTCCTCTTTCATCCCCTTCTCCCCCCTCCTTTCCCCTACCCTCATGGTATCACTAATCCCATTCACTGCTCTTGAGGGATTTATCTGTCCTAGATTCCATGTGTCAAGAGTTCTTACCTGTACTAATGTACAAGGCTCCGGTCTAGCCGAATTTGTAAGGTAGAACTAGGTCATGATAGTGTCGTGGGGAGGAAGCATCAAAGAACTAGAAGAATGTTATGTGTTTCGTTGGTGCTAAATTGCACCCTGGCTGATTTGTTCCTTCCTTGTGACTCTTCTGTGAGAGCATATCCAATTGTCTGCAGATGGGTGTTGGGTCTCTACTCTGACCCTCATTTGCATCAATATGATTGTTTGGGATCTTCTGATCAGAAATACCTGATTCCACCGACACTTCTACCTGTTGACACAGAATAGTGTGCTTCCTCCATGTGGGTGTTGTTGCTTCCCTGCTAGATGGCCGCTTGTTTACCTTCAAGCCTTTAAAACCCCAGAAGCTATATCTTCTAATAGCCAGGCACCATCAGCTCTCTTCACCACATTTGCTTATGCACCCATTTTGTCTTCACCAATCATGTCAGGAAGCTGAGCATCACAGAATGCCAGGTTATTAGAACAAAGAGTTCTTGCATTGAGGGAGCACTTGAGTAGAGGCCCAATGTCCATTTGTTACCTCAATACTTAACATATAAATATATGTACATAGACCTATATCCCTAGTTATATATTAATATATTTACATACGTGCATGCCTACATTTATACCTCTATAACTATCTTTTGCCTTCTACTTCCTTCCTCTATTTCCTTTTACTTTCCTCCTGTCCCACTATCATGTTCGACCTTCATTCAGTTCTCCATAATTGCTCTTGGCTACACTACACTTGATCAAACCCCACCAGGTGTTCTACACCCTCCTAGACATCGATTTTAGATCTCTTGTTGTTCCCTGGTCCCTGAGTTTGTTGGCTGCCCCCTTCCTTTGCCCCCTACTCCTCCTTTCCTATGTCCCCTATGTCCTATGAAACCATCAGTACCGTTGTTTTCTCCTCAGGATTGTTTACCTTGCCTCTCTTATAGAGATAGACATATCTTATATAGATAGACATAGCAAAAAATAATAATAATAAGCCTGTCTGCTGACACAAAGGCAGTTTAAAGGCTCCTGAAAGAAACGTGAAAATGTATAAAAATCTCCTTACCCTCCAGTACTTTGATATGTGTTCCATTTACCTTTAAAAATAAAAGAATATAGCTTGAGGGAGTAAGATTAGAATCAAACCCACCTCACTGCCATCAAGTTGATTCTGCCTCATAGCACCCTGTATAGGGAAGACCTTGTAAATCTTTAAGGGAATAGACAGCTCATCTTTCTCTCAAGGAACAACTGGTGGGTTTGAACTGTTGACCTTGTGGTTAACTAATTAACCCAGTGCCATTGAATCGATTCTGACTCATAGAAATCTTATAGGACTGAATAGAACTGTCCCTGTGTGTTTCTGACACTATAATTCGTTCTCCCATAACTCGTTATGACCAATACATAACACACTGGTTAACAGTCCCAATGGAGTGCACAGGAGAGAACACAGTGCTAATTAGAATTGATTGAGAAGGGTACAGACAACAGTAACAATACATTCTGAGTGGCTAGCTACGAAAGTAAACTCCTCAAAGTGGGTGCTCTTCAGGGGGCCTGTCAAATGAGAGACACATGACCTCATTTTTCCTGTGATTCACCTATTGCCTTCCCTTTGGGTATGGTCTCCATTTTTATACATCCAGAACACTATTCTTAACCTTTCTTGTCAGTGGTATGACTTTCTACATTGCACTGCAGAACATGGCCCGGCAGGGATAGTCACATTGTGAGCCTGGCAAATGACAACGCTGCTTCTCACGTTAGGACTATCTTGAAAAGAAGGCAGAAGCAGGTATCATTAGATAAACTTTTAATAAAGACCCCAGAAAGTGAACTGCCAGCAGCAGTATGGAAGGAGGCTTGCCTTCCAAAAAAGTACACCCCTCCTCCTCCTGCAGTTCCCCTCGGCTCCCAGTGCGCCAGGAAGCATTAAGGGAGAGTCCGTGGACAAAGTTTTTAAATGTTATTTCCTATATTGTATTTTGATATTTAACATATTGCATTTATTTTGTTTAGATGGTTTAATGGTTATTTCTACAACCCAGAGCTGTTAGCTTTGTGTTAAAGCCCTGAACATGAATGTACAAGTGTAATTGTAGAGTCTAAAAACCAGTTATTTGGTTACCCATGATTTCTTATGGGAAAATTACGTTCGGTTCTCAAACTTTTCAGTGTTTGAACACGAATTTGGAATAATGAATTGAATTAGATAATTAAGGGATCACTGTACTTAAGGATAGTCATGTTAAATTTGGATAAGAAAATATGAATAAAATGGAGTCTTGTGTGTAAATTAAAATCATTTAAATGCATACCAATGTTCTGTAACACCTGTCCGTTAGAGGAGTAATGACAAGTCGAGGTGAGTTACCAAGATATTCATAAGCATATTTCACATTGCAATTAATGATCCGAACTCGAGCATTATCATATTCCCAATAATATCGAAGTTGAGCAAGCCACTGGAAATCTGTTTCATGTGAGACACCTAAAAAGAATAAAGTAAAATAAGACACAATCTTTAAAAGGAAACGATTTTTAAATTGGATTTTTAGTTTATAACAGCAAATATTAAAATGATTCATGTTTTCCAAGTTATTTAAAAGATTATATAAAAGAAGTTCTGTTCTAAAGGGGAAAAAGACAACATTAAACTTTATTTCTATAAGCTATTGATAATTTAAATTTAATATTAAGGGAAAATGTTACACACCTTTCTCAATCATGTCCATGACCACATCTCTAGCATGGACATCAATAGTGACCAAAGCCCCCAGAGTGGTCCTGGTCTGCTTAGACAATTTCCCTCTAACCAGCCCCACAATATCATTTAGTTGATTCTGAAGTTCACTATAGTACTTCTTTAATCCCTAGGGGGAAAAGTTAAAGCCATTAAATTGGTGTTGTAGAATATATACAACATGCATTTCATGTGTTTACTCTTGTACAAAACAATTTTGACTTCCTAATCGAGCTCAAATACAGAAACTAATTCTAGAATTGAGTGATTCTGTGACAGCTTAGTAAAATATTAAGAACAAGTCTTCCAAGAACTGTATAATTTTAGTGTTATATATAGAAATTTAGAGAGAATTACCTTTGCAAAGAAATAGATAAGCTAACTTTAAAAACGAAATAGGAAAAAATGGTGTTATTTAAAGTAAAATAAGGCTTTATTACCTCTGGGCCATCGCTTATAACTTCCTGTGTCTCAGAAGTCCAGAACATTTGAGAAACACAAAGCACAACTTGGCCAGGCCATTCTCGAACCCAGTCTTTCCTTTCAGATTCTGGATAAGCCTGGAGAATGAAAATGTATTTCTAACTTTAAAAGCTTAAAAGAGGAGGGGAAATCCTAAATCCTAATGTTACAAAACTGCAGTCAGTATTCATAGGATCACAAAACAAAAACAAAACCCCATGTGGTTGAGCTCATGCCAACTCAAAGCAACTCTACTGAGTTGCTCCCAGGGTTTCACAAGGTTGTAAGTCTCTCGGGAAAAAGCCTTCTTTTTCCAGTGAAGCAGCTGATGGGCGCAACCGCTGACCTTCCAATTCACGGCCCAGCACTTAAGCCACTGTGCACCATAGCTCTTGCATACACTAAAACATCATGTATGTGTGAAAAGATATTTCAGGTGGCTGTTTTAAAAGAAGTTCATAAATTCTTAGTATATTCTTAAAATATGTGTGTGCGTTTTATGGAAAGATGTTTACCAGCCTGTAAATAACGGGTAATCTCTGGAAGGAAGAATTTGATATGATTTTTTTTGGAGAGCTGTCAGATTTTCTACATAGGATATGTATTACTTCTATAATAATAAAACCTAAAGGCTTTATTAAACTGTTAAAAAAAAACAAATCAGTCAATAAAGTATACATACTAATGTTGAGATTTATTTGAAATGGCAAGTATATAATCTAGCAGAAAACTGGACTAGTAATTACAGCCTTTATATTATTTATCGATAGTTTTTCTAAAAGTCTGTATTACAAAAACATACATTGTGAAAATTATACAGTACAAACTGTGCTTTTGATTTCAAAATATTGTCATTTCTAACACTTCTATTTTCAAAATGCATGTACTTGGATTTATCAGAAGATATAGATTTAATCTATTATAAAGATTATCATTTGCTTTTAAAGAAAATGGTAATAGCATATCCAAATTATAAATTGGAAAAACCAACTGCAGAACTCAGTTGAAGGTGGTGCTTAAGAAAACTCAATTTTTAATAGAATGGCATTATTTTAGATTTAAGAGTATTAAACATATAGATATACATATTATTATGGAAATTACTTGATTGGATATATCTATAAGGAAGTGCAGATGACAAACTAGTTTAAGCTTCAAAGACAAATGAGGAATGGTTAAGAGCCACTTGCTAGGCACATGCAAGGTAAATTTTTATACTACTTAAAGAAAAACTACTATGGATGGTATTAATGCTTTGTGGCTTTTTTCTCTATTAAAATATGTGTTTTCATATTTTTAATCATTTTATTAGGGGCTCATACAACTCATCACAATCCATACATACATACATTGTGTAAAGCACATTTGTACATTCATTGCCTTCATCATTCTCATAACATTTGCTCTCCACCTAAGCCCCTGGCATCAGGTCCTCTTTTTTCCCATGTTTTCATATTTTTTGAAGAATGAATAGGAAGAAGGCAAAAAAGTCAAGATTTAGCTACATAAACATTGGGGCTGAACAGACACTGCAAGCAGCTGAGCTTCATAGAGCTCTCAATGAAGGAAAAGGGATCATCTCATTCGCACAAAGTGAATTGCTAGATACAAAGCAGCACTGTCTTTTAAAACTAGTTTTTTACTATACTGAAGTCTATAATTCAAGATTAGCTTAATTAGATTAGCACAATAATGGAGAATGTGTAGTACCTTTTTTAAAAAAATGTTTTTGTGTGTAGTACCTTTTTAGTATGTCTTTCAAATATTATATATCTTCCATTAAGGTTTCTTCACCTCATTTCGAGTTCTTATATAAGTGTTTAAGTGTGAAAAGCAGTTAGAGAACTAGATGATGTATTTAACATTCATGCATACCAGAGGAGAATTGACATCTAGATCAGAAAATGTGCTAAAAAGGTGATTGTTTGTCTCCTAGACGTATCCCCTCTGCCAGTGGTTCTCAACCTTCCTAATGCCATGACCCTTTAATACAGGTTCCTCATTTTGTGGTGACCCCCAGCCTTAAAATTATTTTTGTTGATACTTCATAACTGTAATTTTGCTACTGTTATGAATCGTAATGTAAATATCTGATAGGCAGGATGTATTTTCATTGTTACAAATTGAACATAATTAAAGCATAGTGATTCATCACAAAAACAATATGTAATTACATATTGTGAAAGATTTCTTTCTAATGAAAAATAAATGAAATTTTGTCTTGAAGCATGGTGTAGCTCTGAGGTCTTAAAGGCTTGAAGGTTAACAAGCAGCCATCTAGCTCAGAAGCAACAAAGCCCACATGGATGAAGCACACCAGCCTGTGTGATCACGAGGTGCCGAAGGGAGAAGTTATCAGGCATCAAAGAACAAAAAATCATATCAGTGTGCTCACCTCCATGATACAATCGCTGAAGACAAATGGGTGCATAAGCAAATGTGGCGAAGAAAGCTGATGGTGCCCGGCTATCAGAACAAAAAATCTTACCATAGTGAATGAGGTGGGGAGTGCAGAGTGGAGACTCAAAGCCCATTTGTAGGCCACTGGAGATCCCCTTGCAGAGGGGTCTCAGGGAGGAGATGAACCAGGCAGGGTGCGATGTAGCAACGATGAAA